AAAAAAAAAAAATAAAAAAAAAAAAAAAAAAAAAAAAAAAAAAAAAAAAAAAAAAGAAAAAGAAACGAAAAGAAAAATTTTAACCAAAAGGCGTACCATTACAACTACACCAACTATTGTTTACATCTATCAATTTTAACTGTTCTAATCATTGATCAATCATAGGGAGAGAATAAACGTGATAGATATTGAGACAACGTTGCTTTAAAGACTTCACATCACTCACGCACACAACTACAAATGTCGACGAATCGAAAGACCTTCAAGAATCAACTGAAAAGATTCAATGGTAACAACAATAGCACATCATCAGAATTGACCAGTTTGGTCGAGATGTTTCCTGATTGGGAAGCTGATGAATTAAGTGGCTTACTTGATGAACACCATCACGCGCTCGAAATTGTCATCGATTTGATTGTGAACAATAAAGTTTCCCGGTGGGAACCTAGCAAAAAGGATAAGGTCAAGAAACCAAAGGAAGATGTAGCCAATAATGTAAATAACGCACACACTTCCAACCATACTTCATCGGGTGACAAGAAATTCTCAAACAAACCCAAATCATCTACAAGACCACCAAAGAAACAACAATCAGGACCAAAGAAGCCCGCTAGATCGGGCGATAAAGCTACCACCAACGCCCCACATGCCACCAAACAGGAAACTTCAGCAGAACCATCGGGCTCCTGGGCATCAGCATTGGGCACTGATAAACCAAAACCACAGAAACAACAACAACAGCAGCAGCAGCAGCAGCAGCAGCAACCACAAGCGGAACAGGAACAAGCATCAAAACCTAGTGAAGAACACCTTGGTGCACAACCTGAAGCTGCAGCAGAACATACTACTAAGCCAACTACGGAAGAAAAGCTGGCGGGAGAAGAAGCTCCTATCGAAAAGCCCAAGCCTGTATTGAAGGAGGCAAACATCCCTGAATTAAACCAAGGATCATGGGCATCGGCAATAACCCCAAAGACAAAACCAAAGCCAAAGCCAACCAAAATTCAAAAGCGCCCAGCAGAAACCCAAAACGCCTCTGAACCAGTCCCACAAGACGAGCAAGTCAAGGAAACTACTGAAAGTGAGAGCCAGCCTTCTGCACCAGCAGTTGCTGAAAACCAAGCTTATCAACAAGATGAGACTCCACAAGTGGCTGCTGAACCTATTGCATACCAAGAGCAACCAGTTGTACAGACACCCCAAGTTGTTTTGCCTTCCTCTCAACAGGTTAATTCCGTTGGTATTTCATTTGGTTCCTTGTCCTTAGACGCTGAAGATAATCAAGACACTCAAGCGCAACAACAAGCTCAACAACAGGAAACACAACAACCCGAACAACCACAACGTTATGGATCTTATGATCAACAATCTCAAGCAAGTTTGGACCAAAATGCTGGAAGTCAACAACAACAACAACAGCAACAGCAGCAGCAGCAACCTCAACAACCTCAACAACCAACTCCATATGGTAAACAGTCGCAACAACCTTCACAAAACTTCCCTACTCAGCAAGCTCAGTACGATTACTACAACCAATTTCAGCAACAACAGTACCCGCAACAAGCTGCTCAGCCAGGATCCCAGTTTGGTGGGTACCCAGGCTATGACTACAGTGCTTACAGTCAACAGGCCTTTGGCGGTATTGCATCACCTGCAGCAACCCACAATGTTGCTACTCCTGCGGCTGCTGGTGGATACGCTCAGTACGCTCAGCAAGCTGTTAATGGTGGCTCTATTGACTCTACACAAAGCCCAGTTACCGGCCAAACAGGTTTGCAACAGCAATCTGCTGCTGGTTTGAGTCAACAACACCAACAACAGCAACAACAAATTCCAACTCCGTTTGGTTATCCATACTACAACTACTACTACAACAACCCATATTTCAATGCCGCTGGTGCATTAGGTTCAAATGGTTTAGGTTCAGTAGGACAACCAGCACAAAATGCTCAACAAACTGCTCAGCAAGCAAGTATTCCGGGAAGTGCACAAGGCTCTGTTTCCAGTAATGGGTTTGGACAGCAACAGTACTACAACCCAAACCAATATGCAAATAGGTATCCTGGTTACTCTTATCCACCACAACCACAACAAGGTGCACACCAAGGTCAAGGTCAACCTGGTACTGCTGAAAGTGAAGGTTCTCAACAAAATTCACAGCAACAGCAAACTCAACCGCAAACCCAGACCCAACCAAACGCTCAACAACCTGTGATTCCACAATACGGTGCTTACCAGCAATATCCTCAATATGGATATCAAGACTCGGCTCAATATCGTGGATGGTATTAAGCAGTGAAAGGTGAGACGCTTCATTCGTTAAGACATGACAGGAGAGAAAGAGTGAGAGGGAGAGAGAGAGAGAGACACTCGGATCAAATTTAAAGTAAGTGTATAAATAAAAATGTGAGAATACATTTCGAATATCACGTATGTGTATGTTTTTGTAGCATCTCTGCTATGAAAGAGGAGTTGAAAGTACCGGTGCACATCTTGCAACTAAAATGTGAGTATAGATTGGACTGGAGGGGCTGTAGCTGTCGTGTGAGACAAGCAACACTTTCACGTGACAGCTCCTCCTTCATGCAAAGGAAAATGTCAACTTCCATAATGTACAAAACTCATCTCGTCTAAAATACGCTCATCAGAATTCAATACTAAAGAAATGTTTCGTGATATGCATTCTTTGCTTTATGTAGTGAAAGCCTCATCATCGGTTTGTTGCTTGATATTTATGTGAAGGTAATAAAAAGTCGCACTGAATCTCGGTAGCAGGAACATTTTCGGTGAGAGCTAGAGCTCTCCTGCCACAATACAATTCCTACAACTACTTCAGTTACTCTAGCGGTTTGCATTTGATGCAAGAAAGACTACCCTTATAACTTTTATTTGGGCAATTACTCTCAAATTCTGCACATCTGTATGGAGAAGCAAGGATTTTACAAAGTTCACACCTCACAAAATTGATCCTTCAAGTTGCGGAACAGTCATCAAAAACTGTACGCACCAATTTGCCATCCCCATCCCATTATTTTAGCAACTAAGTTTCATTGACCGGACATGTCTGATATCTCATATTTGATGGTTTATAATGCCCATGAGGGAACATCTATTAGAATACCGAAACCAATTCGATTCCCCACCCTCCTGGAGTTCAAAAGTTTCCTACTGCAATCGTTTTCAATAGAGAATGTGGATGATCTTTTCTTGTTGACTTCCTTCGGCATCAAGATCAACTACAATTCCATCAATGACATTTCTGAGGTGTTTGTTTTTGACAAGCGTTTGTTTATCTCGGAAATTGATCGGAAATTACTCAACTCGTATATTTTGCATTCGTCAAAAGATGATATCAGTTCTCCAGAACCGCTGCCTTTGGCTGATTTTCCAAAAGCGCGTTCTAGAGATGTTGCAAGCAGCGTCACGAGCTATCAAGCATGGGCCAGAGAAATAGCACGAAAGAGCAATATTCTCGAAAGTCGATGTCTGTCATTAATACAACAAATCAACGCCATATTCAAGTCCTTGACAGCGCTATTTCAATTCGCCACAAGCTTCACCACCGAAGTTGAAAAGAGCTTTAGTCACCACTTCAATTATATCAATCTCATTAGCATCAAAACGTTGCATAAAAGTTGGACGGAAAGCTACAAAAATCTACAGCACCTACCAGTTGTTAAACTCAAAGACAAGCGAATCAAGTTGGTTGATTTTCTTGATTACGATTCCTTGCAGAGTGCAGCAACATATGTGGCGAAGCAACTTCCATTAATTACTGGGAAATTCACTGAGTTGAACGAGATGTGTAAAATTATGAAACTGGATCGAACGAAAGTGGATGAGCACATTGAGAGGGCACGAAGACAATCAATAGATCGATTCAAGAACACAAATTTGAACGAATTAGTGAATCGGATAAAGGCCAAAGCCCAACTCGTTACCACTGAATTTTTGAATGTGCATGGGGCCACACTTGAGCAAGTACTCAATAAGCACAAGTCTCATATTTCAATTGACCTCAAAAATGATGCAAACGACTTGTACAAGTACTACTTAGATTTGGAATCATTTAAACAGCAACTAATAAAAGACGGGCCAAAGATATACTCCATCATTGCTAATTTGCAAATGAAGGCAGTCAATCTTAAAGCTGAGATTAAGTCGTTGATGGAAGACAACGGAGCTGATAACTCAAGTGCTGTCAGTCATAGATCTATTCAGGATGTAAAAAAGTGCGAAGACTTGTTATCTTTGACAATTGATATGCCGTTGTTGTTTGGATTTGCTATGGTGGAGAAAAGGCGGCAGTTTGAATGGTACGATTTTTATTCCAAAGGTGTTGTTCACAATTTCAGCGAGCAGGTCACATCAATTGGAGAGAACGAAAGGGCGTTTCGAGAAGTGTGGAACAAGAAAGTGGGGACTTTTCTCAATTACATCAATAATGACAACTTTGTAGGAGTCTTGCCCAATGTTGACATAACACTAGTTGGGAACACGGACAAGATTCCCACGTTTGTGCTATTACAGAATGTTCAAATCGACAGGGATGATATCCTCGACTACATATCCTTGTTGGAGACTTCTCAAGTGTCCACTCACTTTCCTGGATTGTTGCGCAAGAATTTCAAGGATATGAAACAGTCAACAAACAACATGAAGAGAATAACTAAACTAATATCATCTTTAGGTTCGGTTTCAGAGCAACCGGTTGACAAATTAGGTAATCTGTCAGGTAAAGAGTCTCAAGAGAATGTGGATCTTGATTTGAATGTTGTTAGTGGACTCAAATCTAGAATCAAGAAACTAGAAAGTCTCCTACACCAACAACAATACAAGAATATCACCAACTGGCCCGTGTTTCGTAATGGGAATTATTCTGAAAATAGGATGAGCATGATTATTGATCCCAAGCAGCCTTCTTCAACGCCTGTTGTAAAGTCGGATCCCACAAAGCTTTTGCAGAAAAGGACTCCATCAAAGGAAAGTATAAGCTCAACTCAGTCACAGGTGTTGGATACATCGGGGGTTGATAAGCATCTTGATAATATCAAGTTGAGACGAGCCAACTCTGAACTTACGACAGAGAATGAACACTTGCGGAAAGAGCGAGACAATCAAGATGAAATAATCTCGCAGTTGCGACAGGAAATGGAGAAACTCAAAACAAGTCACAAGAAGGAAATTGAAACTCTTGATGGCAAATTGACACTGCGTGAAGAGGAATTCAGACTTTACAAATTAGAGAGCAGATTAAGCTCTAAAGAGTTTGAAAATTTGGAAAAGAAATTGGAGACAAAGGATCGTACCATTGGCCAGTTGAGCAGCAGGGTATCGATAATGGAAAGGGAGCAATCCCACCACGAACAAGAGATTTCAAGTCTTGGTGGGACCATTGCCATTTTACGAAACGAATTAAATGACGCCAATAGAATGAAGAATGACTTGTTGTCAAACATGTCTTCAAAAGAGTCCGAGTTTGCTCAGGAGAGAACCACTAATCAGAATGAGCTCACCAGAATTAAATCGAAGTTGGACGAAGTGACTGAGGATTATGAAAACTTGATGGAGTTGACTCAAGTCAAACAACAGAAGCATGATCAACTAATTGTTGAATCGATTTCGTTGATCACCACTTTGTTGAATAAGCTAAAATTGACAATTGAAGGATATTTTGAATCGTTTATCGAGATTTGTTGCGTTTTGGAATCGATGGGGTTGTTGTTGGTGAAAGAGGGAGACATTTTCAAAATTAAACGTGTTAAAGGATTGAAACCGAAAAAGAGTACAGCGAATTTAGATGGAGATGCGTCGTTGGTATCTGTTACAGCTACGCCGACCTCAAAAGTAATTGACGACATTGAGGAGGGAATGCGGTGGTTAAATGAAATCCCAGCTTCGCCCTGTCTTCCACCTGATAGTTCATCTGATGATAATGAAATTGTCAATGTAGACAAGTACGATGAGGAAGCCGAAAAGTTGGTTACTAAATTCAAAGCAGTATTTGATGGCGAACAATCTCAATTCGACTCATTTATACATCTTATAAACTTCAAGGGAAACATTCAATTGGCAGATGAAAATTCAAGCAATACGAGATTTTTCCTTAATGCCATTTCCAAGAGATTTAAAGATGTTGAAGGTTTTGCTAAACGACAAACAAAGGATAATAAATTGAAAGAACAAGAGATTAGGAAGTTGGTTTCACGCAATAAGCACAAGATATCAATCAATTCATTTGAGGAAAATGATTTGTTGTTATTTCTTCCAACAAGGGATGATAACCAGAAGGGAGATGACAGTGAGGAGAATCAACCGTGGGCTGCATTCAATGTTGGCGCACCGCACTATTTCTTGGATACGCTGCGCTTGAACATGACTGGTAAGGAGTGGATAATTGGAAGGGTGCAGCTGATCAATGAGCACAAGGTGTCACCTGACCAAGCTAGCTCATTGGAGCATAACCCTTTCAAGTTGAGTGTGGGAGTTACATGGTACTTGGTGCAAGTAACCGAGGATCTATGAGCGGAGCAATGAACGGAGAAATGAACTGAAAAATAGTTATATTCTATGAACTTACATAATTACTCCGGTACATGATTGAACAAGTAACTGACGCTTTCCCCATTATGTAGTCTTCTTATAGCCTCAGCTAGCGTCGCACTAATGTCCAAAGTCTCCATCTTGTGACATTTTGCCAATTTATCCTGGATAGGCAAGGTATTGGTACAAACCAATTTATCAATTTTGGAACCGTTCAACTTGTCAATGGCATTTTGCGACAAAATAGCATGAGTAACCATACAAACCACTTTTCGAGCTTTATTCTCCAACAAAACGTCGGCCGCTTTACACAACGTACCACAAGTGTCAGCTATATCGTCAACAAGAATACAAATCTTGTCGGTAACATCACCCACAAGAACCATTCGCGAAATTTCATTAGCCTTTTGACGTTCTTTATGGATCAAGGCGAATTGAATATCCAACTTGTCAGCTAAACTGGCAACTCTCTTTGCACCACCAGCATCAGGACTCACCATGATTATATCGTCCTTGTTATATTTCTCTCTGATATACCGCAATACACTAGGCTCAGCGTACAAGTTATCAACGGGTATACTGAAGAACCCTTGAATTTGACTAGCATGTAAATCCATAGTGATGACATGGTTACAGCCAGCAGTTTGTAATAAGTTGGCAATCAATTTAGCGGTTATTGGTGCTCTGGACTTATCCTTCTTGTCTTGTCTAGCGTAGGGGAAACTGGGGATCACCGCAGTGATTCGTCTTGCACTAGCAACTCGACAAGCGTTAATCATAAATAGTAACTCCATTACGAAATCGTTGATTTCAGTTTCTCCAGTTCCCGTTTGTAAAATGTAGACATCCTCATCTCGAACTGACTCGCCAATGGCAACAGCAGTTTCGGTGTTTGTGTATTGGAAAGCTCCCACGCGGGCTATATCAATGCCTAGTTTAGCAGCTACTTTTTCGCATAGCTGGATATGTGAGTTTCCTGCAATCAACTTTATGGAATTCTGCTGGTAGGTATGCATAGTGAATAGATACCTATCGAGTATATCTGGGCTAGAGTGGGATGGAATGTATCTCTCTTAAGAAGGAGTAGGGTTTGCTTCTGCTCTTCGCAAATTCGATGCGTTCGGCACATCAAAATTGCATCAAAAAAATATTTAAAATGCTACCAATCACATCAACTACCTAATGCAAATGATAAAGATCTATATAAATATTACCTTCTATCTTGCTCCTTCTATTCTAATAAGTCTCGCAATCCCAGGATTTCTCCCATTAAACTCAAATATTCCAGAACAATTGAGTTGAAAACCCACCAACTGCCAAAACTACTCTGACTTGAATCGGTATTTGCGTTGAAGTTGGCTCCATGTCTGCTAGCTTGCGGCAAAGTGCTGCTCCCCTCCTCTAAAAACTCTTCTTGTGTTTGTTTCTGTTGCCGTTGCTTTATGAATATATGCTTCAATACATCATTCAACATGAAAGTGATGTAGTTGTTGAAAACTTGAATGGGGTATTTGGATTTGAAATGTGGCGATAACAACTTCGTATCGATTAATGCTAATAACGACGTCACTCTTTTCATTTCGTTCGTTGTTAAAATAGATTTTAAACAACGCGATTGTTCACTTGTATTAAAATTTTGTCCGATTGGTGTGCTGGTGGGTGCTGTATCACGATGTTGTTGGGGTATTTGTAGTATTTTCTGCAATGATGCTTGCTCTCCTATACTTGTGTCAATTTGATACTTGTCCTTCAAAGAAGAGTATTGTAATGACGAGGTACAATGGGCATCTGATCCGCCATTCAAAAATTGCAATAAATCAACCCTGAAAAATTCGTCAAGTAGGGAAACATCTTCACTTATAAAACTCAGTGAAATGGCCAGGGCCAGTTTAACGTTTAGGCTAGTGGCTGGGTTAAACCGAAATGCAGCTAAGGTGTGGATCAAGTCACTCGATATTATTTCATTCTTGAAGCTGAGGTTTGTAGCGCACACATTTGAGGCGGTATTTGTAGTGCTGGGGCTGGTGGCAGTATCTTCTGTCTTGGCAGGCGGGGCAGAGCTAGTGCTCATCAAATTGCTTGGCTGAGGATCTTCCACTTCGACCAATCCGCTCCCCACGGGCTTCCCACCCACCAAAGACCAAATATCCATACCCATCATTTCACTTTGTTCCGGCTTGTTCAATAATTTGACTAAAGTAATCAATAAATCATTCAAATTAATCATCTTTTTCACCAAGTTTAGAAACGTACTGACGGTATCCGATGGGAATTTGTATTGCTTTGATGTTGCATTTTCGTTATTCAACTTTGCCAACTCTTGTGGTAGGTGATTGATCAAGTACAAAAAGTTTCGACGCAAATTGGTTACCAAATTGATATCGGCCAACGGTTTGGTAAGGAGTAAAATAGGCAATGCTTCGAGTATGATGATTATGTATATGAGCAAATCAAAATTACTGGTAGTTGTTGTTTTTGTGGAGTTGCTGCTTCCCAGTTGTGTCATAATTGGAACAAAAACCAACTGCAACAAGTTTTCCAATAAGCTTGATTCAGTAACTAAACTTGCATTTGTTAGCAACATTGTTTTGATCATCTCTGGATTAATTGAGGGTACTTTTACATAAGTATCAGCCAACAACTTCGAAAACCAATTCTCTTGTCTCTCAACTTGTTGAATGACGGTAAAATCGGACTCTACTGGGTACTTCAGCTCCATTTTTATAAACGATAGGCGAGGTGTCAATCTAGTTTCCACGTCTTGTACTCTATGTGTACTCAATTTATCCTTGTCGCTTGAGCGGCTGCGTTTTCTTCCTCTCTTATTTGTTGTCCCGCCAGTAGGAATGGCACCAATTGGCGTGTGTACATCAGTGGGAACGCCCCCAGGGAATAGTAACTCATTATATTCAGCATTGGCGCCACCACCTTCCTCAGTGAACATTTTGTTCAATTTGTCCAAATCATATTGCTCACACAACTGCCTGATATTGGCATCTATGATATGCTCATTCCAAACTACTCCGAGATAGTGATACCTTGACTCGCCCCTGCTCCCCAACCTTTTGATAGGAGTATTGGGATACACCAACTTGATCAATTTACCCAATTTTGATTGTCCAAGAATCAACTTTTGTTGCTCATTTGCAGTGTTTGATGAGCTAGGATATCGTATTATCAATTTCTGGCAAATGATGAAGTAAGTCTTGAAAATTGATAGTCGCTGAATGGAAAAATTCTGTGGGTCTGTGGTTACCGTATTTTCCGGCACTTCAAAGTAGTATAGAAAGTTCTAAAACTATCGCTCCTTACATGCATCATTAAGCACCATGTTTATTGAAAACAATCGATTGTAACCACGGTTATCTCCTTCTTCTAGTTGTTGTTGTTGTCGTGGAGGTTGTTGCTCTTGGTGAGAGAAAATCTCCCGCAAAGTGGTTGGGTTTCTAAATCGCAGGTTTTAAACTAAGTAATAACTGCGTTGACTTAGTACTGATATGTTACTTTTGGGGGTTTTGTCGATTTTCTGATTGTAATTGAAATTTGCAGTACTCATCGGCATTTGACGATCGTTGTTGTAAAGCAAGTTGTAAAAATCATCCAAGGGAAACAGGGTGTTTAATTTACAAATCAACGAATGCAAATAGTCGCCCATGTTACTCCCATCAACAGAAAATAGTTCAAGTAGAAGTTCATCAAGGAGTGGGTTAGTGTCACGGTGGAATCTTTGTATCTGGTGTTCATTGGGGGGAACAATATTCTGTTGCATGTTGCCAGCAGCACCACCCAAGGATATTGAAGTTAAATGTGAGGAAATGGATAGGTTATTTTTTAAGTGTCTTGGTGCAGTTGTCGGTGCAGTTGTCGGTGCGGCTGCTGCTGCAACTGGTGCCGGAGTGGGTGCTGTAGTTACTACAGATGGGGGAATCGATGGTGGACCAGATGCAATGGAAGAGGCTTGTACTGAAGTTTGGAGTGAGCCTGTTGAGAAGGTAGGTTGTGGTTGAGAAAACAGTTTATTAGCACCAGTGGATGCGTTGACATTGTAAAATGCCTGCAGCTGTTGTGAATGCGGAAGATTGGTATCAATACCTGGATAATTAGAGACTGAAGGGAACTGCGACAGTGGTGTTTGGAAACCAGAGGAGCCTGCTCCTTGTAGGTTGATGTAGGATGCATTTCCGTAAGAGGAACTCGACTGGTATGGACGCCCAAATTGTGATTCTGAGTAGTAATTTTGTTGTGGAACATTTGATGTAGGTCGCACTGACTGATGCTGTTGCTGTGATTGCTCTTGTAGTTGTAGTTGCTGGTGCTGGTGGAAGTGGTGCGATGGTTGGGTTGGTGACCTTTGGTACAGACCCCCGTGTTGGAAATTAAAGCCTGTAGACGATGGAGGTATTAGTGGAGCAGTTGGTGAAACCAAAGGATATTCTGAATATCTATCGTATCCTGTTGAAGCTATGCGTCTGTTGGCCTGACCCGTGCTTGGTCCTTGAAATTCATTATTGTACGGGTACTGACCGGACTGTGGGGTTTGCATGTCCTGACGAAAATTGGCATTAGGATGAAGGGCTAGTGGTGCATAAGATGCGTAATTATATACGTCTTGTTCTTCAAATTTATTTGACGATATGGGAAAATTGGCTTGTGCATATATTGCAGACGACGCATCTAGATTGTGGTATGCTGATGATGCTTGTGATTGTGCTTGTGATTGTGATTGTGATTGTGATTGTGAATGGAACTGGTGACCGTCTAAGTTGAAGTTAGGGTGTCGTGGTTGTATATTTTGTCTATTTTCAAGAATATCAAATCCACCTTGACTCAGTGTAGACAGTTTGCGTCGTTTATGAGGTGGTTTGTTTGGTGGCATATGATTGTTTCTGGTGACATAAAACTGGAATTGCCGTGGTAGAAAGAGGGGGGGGAAGTAGGTGCTTTTCTTTTCAACTTGTTTCCACTGGTTTGAGTTTAGCAGTGGCTCGAGTAGTTCTGATCCAGGTATTTGTGTAAGTTAGTTATGATAAATCTCTGTTGACGTGTATTTTAACAACAAGCAGCTCTTTTCAACAAGGTTCAACGTTCCTGAATCCAATATTTCCCCTCGTACCTTGTCTGTCAGCTTTTTGGGCACTCACAAAATTGGAAGATTTTCTCAGTTATGTGAAGTAATATTATATTCGAATTAGTGGGTGTAAATTATATGATGTTTTTGAACAATGTGCAGCAGATTTCGGTAGAAAACTGCAGAATACCACACGGTAGCTCCTGATTTGTCAAAGTGACCGTATGTTCAAGGTCAGAGTATGGACCACTTAACGGTCTGCGCTGTATTTATTGTCGCGATGTTATCTGTCTTCTTCAGTAACGATTGATAAACTTTTAGATCGTTACACGCACATGTATTTGCATAAGTCTGGTGACCAAAAAATAAGTCTCTTTTGAAGAGAGCTTGTAATTGGGTAATTGATAGAAGCTTTTGCTCTCTCTTTTATAGATCAAGCATCATCAATGAGAAGATATTGTTCCTGGATCGGTTTAAATACAGAAACACAGAGAGATCAAAATTAAAAAAAAAAAAAAGAAAAAATTTATAAAACTAAACCAACACAAAGCGAAAAAGGTAAACAACAGAACAACAAAAAAAAAATAAAAAAGAAATTTTATAAATATAATTTTCGCTTAGTTATGTGTAAGTTCTTGTAAGCAGCACACCTTATTTTTTGTTACACGATGCTAAACCTCTCTCTCTAATTTACATGTACTTTGGTGTAAGGGCTTCTTCATGCACTTTCTCTTCATCTTCGACTGATACTCCTTCTTTCTCCTATTACGCAAAATGGGGGACTATACATACCCTCTGTAATGCTTGCTGGTAAAAAAGTAATGCTGTGCACAGTTGAGCAAATTCTCTCTTTTACAAGGAGAGCCAGGTACGAGTCATTAAAGCAACAAATTTAGTAGGTTGTCGTTACAACGGTCATTACTAGCCACATTACCCTTAACAAGGCGCCTATCGCACTACTCATCACTAACTCAATTGCTATTTGCATGCACTCACAAAATAAAATAAAAATTAAGGGATTGATGCGGTTCCGCTTGGAACTCATTGCAATCAAGACATCAGCCACCATCTAACACTCACCTCCAGGTTGAGCCTCAAGTTTGACCTTCTCATTTATTCTAATTGCGTAATACAATTCAGCAAGTAATTGGTTGGAAGGGGAAAGCATTATGTGGAAAGAGGTTCGGGCTAGACTACTACCTCTACTGTGGAATGATACAATGTGGCACATACCTGATACCTATACTCATGGAGTCACTTTGCAATTGCATATGATAATATCCCAATTGTTTACGCTCTCTCTCTCTCTTTCTCTCTCTCTCTTTNCTCTCTCTCTCTCTCTCTCTCTCTCTCTCTCTCTCTGCCATATGAGAATGTATTTTATGCGATTACTTGTTGTTCTTCCACAAACGCTCCCCTTCTTAAATTGTGAACATACCGAGGATCATTTTTGCAATTTTTTTCTTTTCTTTTTTACGGGGCATTGCAGATCTCTTCTGTATCACTAGAAGAAAACAAGGGCAGTCCCATCTGAATCCATTTACGGAGGTCGTTCCAGTTGCTATTGCCCTCCCCCCCTCTGTTTCCCTTAGTAACACGACATCAGGTACAGGTTCCTGACTTCGTACTCGTACCTTCATGTCAAAATAAACAAGGAGAAAGGACAAAACAGAAATAAGGGTTTACAATAAGCGTGAATGTTACCGGTTACTTGTAACTTTGTATTGTTGGTATGTGTAATGTCAAAAAAAGGTGCCTTTACCCGTATTTGATTCAAATGTAAACAAATACACAAACACTACAGACACACACACAAAAGAGTCTCAATGGTCACAACACAAAATGCAACCATACATTCCAACTCAATACATACACACACCGTATACAAAACATTCAAGAGTCTTATAAACGGATCTCTTTATAGCACTCCCATCCAAACTGAACAAACCAAATACTTATCTCTGGTGATCACCCTCCCCAAAAAATTAGCGAAAAACTTTGATTCTTTCAATCATCAAACTCAAAACTCCAAGTTTTCCTTACTTTTGCATCACGAAGGCATGATAATTTCGTATTACATTCCGCATGACAGACGATGTTGGCGTGTTTTTACATTGTTTTCCGTAAATTCTCTTTACTCTCATCATCTGACGCGGTGTGGCGCCCTCTTTATGAATTGTTTCTTTAACTGTTTATGTACATCGCTATCTTCGCAAAAGATTGTGTTGTATGAAGGAAAGAGGGCCATTTCTCTATATTGAATACACTATACCTGGGAGTCAACAATCTTCTCTCGCATATGTGGTTTACATTTTATGTTTCTCTTCTCTCTCGACGATCTTATTCAAATATGTATATAAATATATATACATACTTCCATGCTTACAACTTAGCCTTATCTCCCAATAATCCCTTAACCAAAACATCTTGCATTTCATTAGCACTGTCAACAAGGAACCATTTCAATTGAGCAGAACTCAATCCATTTCCATACTTGCATGAAATATGAACATGAATCCAGTCATTATTGATCAAATAAGCCAATCCAAATCCATCATCGATCACTTGCGACCAACCCCAGGATTGGAAGTACTCAGATGGAACTTGTGATGATGAAATGTACCAAGTTTGAGAGTAAGTGAAGATTGGATCGGTGAAAATGGCAGGAACTTCTTCGCCTGGTTTCAACATTTGTTTCAAACCAAACAAGTGGCGATCAACTCCTTTACCATCGGCAGCTGCAGACAAATAGGCAACGTGTTGCTTGGTTGCGGCTTGGAAAGTGGCAACCTTCTCTTCGATACTGGCCTTGGGGTTGGTCCAAGTCTCAACAAACTTTTTGGATTCATTGGAAACGGTTCTACCAGTCTCGGTTCTTCCCTTTAAGAATTTTCTAGTGGCTGCTGATTCATAAGTTGGTCTAACTTTACCGGTCAACTTGTAGTATGCCAATTGCATCAACATTTGAACATAGGCATCTGGTGAAGTCTTGAATTTCTTAATCAAGTTCTTACCGTATCCGTAATGTTGGAAAATCTCTTCATCGTGAGCAGCAATAGTAGCGTCAAATTTAGCAACTGCCGAAGCGATATTTTGTCTCGAAGTAGGGTTCAAGTCAAATGGTAAAATGTCGGCTTTACCAACTTTAGGAGCAACAGTGGCAATTTCAGAAATCAATTCATCAGGATTGGTTTCGGCAATTTGCTTCAAAATGGTATTGTTCATTTGAACAGTTGGTGTAGCATCCATTCTAGAGTGCTCACCAAGGAAACCAGAGTTACCATTGGCGCTAACGAAAAACTCCAACGGTTTATCAAACCATCTGTTTTGTCCATCTCCATGCCAGCAGTTTTTGGATTTTTCTTCAATAGTGATTGGATTGTTTGAGTCCAAGCAGACAACAAATGCAGAAGCAAAAATATCAGTCAATGAAGCTTCATTGATTGGCGATTTCAAAAGATTGTTGTAAGCGCTCAACCATTCATCTCTATTCAACGAAGTCAAGGCTCCAACTGGTAATCCTTTTGGAGTTGGATCATTCTTGATTTGCTGCAAGTGCTGGTAAATTTCTCCCTTGGACAATCTTTGTCCTTGTTCGGAATGAGTAGGGACTTTGTAAAAGTTGTTTTTGTATACAACAACGAAAAATCTATTGGCATTAGCATCATAATGCTGAGTAACATCCGATCCTTCAGCTGGAACTCTTGAATTGTTAAACATGTACTTGAACGCATTCATGCAAAATGGGTTTCCCTTGATAACTTCTGGTTGCAAAGTTTCATTTTGAACTTGTTCAGCAAACTCAATGGTGTGGTAGGCAATCAAAGTAGCCTTCAACAATTGATCTTGACCAACAACATTCCTGATATCCTTGTGAGAAAAGAAATATGAGACAAATGGAACAACAGGGTCTCTGTATGACAAGTAAGCGTAATCATCCCAAAATTCAGCCAACCAGTTGTCTTTGTCTTTAGCAAAAGAATTCAATCTTTGTTGCAATTGCTCACCGGCTCCACCTGGTCTAATAAATTCTTCAACTTTGGCTTTTGAATCTTGTAACTGTTGAGGATTCAAAAACGGTTCAATGGATTTGATGTACTTGGCGGCAGTTTCTTGCAATTCAGGAACTGGCAATTTGGGCAATTGTGATTGTAATTTATAAGTCTCACCCTTGGCTGTGCTTGTGGAGAATGGTTTCTTGGCGGCTAAGATAGGCATCTTGAATAAAGTCTTTGGGGATGTAGTAGCGGCAGTAGCTTTATTTAATGATAATACTTGTTGTCTAGTTAGGCTTTTGAACATAGTATAAAATCTTTTTGAGGGTAAACTTTCCTGCTGCTATTCTGTAATTCTTCTGGCGCTTCTTTTGTAAGCTAGAAGATTGGCAATGATGAGGAAGTCTATCTATAAATACGGTGAAATCAAAAGAAAGAAAAACTTGGAAAAAGAGTAAATCAATTTAAAGGAAACTAGTGAAAACTTGAAAAAGTGGTGGGCCCATTCATATTTATATATATAACCCCTCTGATTTAAAAATTGATTGGTTTAGCGCTGAAAAAAAAAAAAAAAACAGAGAAAAGAAAAAGAAAACAGCATCTCTTTGTGTAACTGTTGGAGTTTTTTTCTGTTTTGTGGGGGCAGCCGACAAAGGTATTGGTGTAAGGATGCAGGAGCGTGCCACCGTTTTGTTGGTAGTGCATGCACGACCAAAGAATTTTTCTTTTTTCTTTTTACCGAGGAAGAATGGCACAACGTTTTAATATACACAAAAAAATTATCACACACACGCACGCAAAACGGTGTGTAGTAGATCCGCGGATTAGGTAGAGATACATTCTGTAAAATTGAAAAAAGGGGTTCTTGAAGAGGTAAAGGTGTCTGTCCACTTCGCGATTTCCACGCCGTACCCACTCTCTCTAGGTTGACTCTTTCTCATGCTGTTTAACACGGTTGTTGGTGTGGTTGGCATTAGAAGCTGAAATATTTTTTCTTTTTTGCAACAAGCTCCATGCAAACATCTGGATGTTCGAAATAGTCCAAAAGCCATTACCGCAGCTCGAATACCAAAAGACGACGATATATTTACTACGACGAAAGTATCACGTCCTACCGTCCTTTTTTTCAAGACTGTCACATGAAAAAGGAAGATCTTTTGCAACCACTCTAGCCAAACTTGTAAGCGCATAAATTCGTAATTGACAGGGAGGTTATTCTTTTTAGTCGCTACAGATGCTTACTGCAATAATTACGAGAAATGAGAGACGAAATAGTGGTGAAAACCTCGGACATTTGGCAGATAGCACAAAACAAACACTGAATACAATTGAAAAGACAAAATCACATATCTAAAAACTCAAGAGCCTGTTTGCACAATGAGCATTTCAACTGAACGAAGTGAATTGATTTGGAGAGGAGAATAACTAGTGCTTCAGTTTCTAACTCAATTATGACGTATTCGCACGCCTTTCTATATCGGCTTTAAGATTCGACCGATGGAGTGAGACAAAGACCCGAGTAATAAAGATCGAACAAAAATTAAAAAGAAAAAAATTTTTTTTATTTTTTATTTTTTATTTTTTTGCAAAGGGGGAGGAGGAGGAGGACGTGTACCAACTACGTCAGAGATCTAAATAGTCTTCACAGTAGAGCCCATTACCACAGACACTACAATCGATCTTCACTATTTCATGAGTGAGGTGTCAAATTTGAGATATGGCGCAGCTATCTTCTGCTTCATCTGGTACATCATCATTTCTACCGTTGCAGCCCGTGGGTTTATTGAAATACTACTAAAGTTTCGACATCGGACTTCTCTCTCATCATATACTACTGCCACTGTATCCAAATCGAAACAAAATGGCGGATACAAGAAAGATTCCGTGGAAGATAATCCAGACACCGCGGAGGCAACTGCAACAAGTGAAGGCGTCACCATAATACGACCAATCAAGGGAATTGATCCCGAACTCGGGTCATGTCTCGAATCCTCATTTGTGCAAAATTACCCTCTGGATAAAGTCCAAATTTTATTCTGTGTGGATGACCCCAGGGATGCCAGTATTCCAATAATCAAGAAACTAATCAACCGATACCCCACCATTGATGCTGACATACTTATCAGCGAAAACTTCAACTCGGAGACAAAGAGCAGCAGTGAGCATTATGGGCCCAACCCAAAAGTCAACAATTTAGCAAAGGGGTTTCTCAAGGCAAAGTACGATATCTTGTGGGTGATGGATAGCAATGTATGGGCCAGTTCAAACATTTTACGCAATTCTGTCCTTACATTGAATGCGAATTTGAATAATGGACGGAAATTGGGGTATAAGCGGCCTGTTAAGCTAGTTCACCATGTGCCATTGGCATTGTGCATAGATTCTGAAAAGACAACGGTTGGAGAGGCACACAATCAGGGAGGTGTGGTGGATTTAGAGGGGAGTGTGACACCAAATGCATCTGAAGAAGATGATGATATGGAATACTCTTCTTTCACACTTGGTGGCACAGACTCGAATTTGACAAATAGAAAGCCCACGCCGACGCCAACGCCGACGCCAACGCCAACGCCAATACCAATACCAAAACCAAAACCAAAACCAAAACCGAAACCAAACCAGCTTGAACTAGAGCCCGGATACAACCATGGCAATGGCTCTTCCGCCTTTAATGATCCACGGTTCAATCTACTTTACAAAGAGGTGTGTAGTGTAAGTTAATTTTACATTTCGATAAACAACTTCTCAGTTGCCCCCTGTGTCAATGGGAAATCCAACATGTATCGCAAATCCGATTTGGACCAAGCCGTCAAACTAATCCCGTTTAAAAACTCGGCATTCTTCAGTGATGCACAAGTTAAAGCTGACGCGCAGTACTACACATCTTTGGGAGGTGGAGGGTCTGGACATGCCATCAAGTTTTTTGCGCGATACATTGGTGAAGATAACATGATTGGACTTGCGTTGTGGGAGAACTGTAATGGGCGCACGGGGTTGACTGGTGATGTAGTTGTGCAGCCATTGAGCCGAAATGACAATACAGTTTACGATTATATGGAGCGTCGTGTGCGATGGTTGCGAGTGAGAAAGTATATGGTGTTGTTGGCTACTTGTATAGAGCCCACTACCGAGTCGATTATGTGTGGGATATACGGTACTTTTGGAACCTCGACATTGTTTTTGAACCAATGGTTTTCAATCAAGTGGTTCTTGTTGCACATGTTGATTTGGTGCTTGTGTGTAAAGCACGTCATGTTACAGGAGTAGTCAGTATGGTTTAGCTGTTTAAGTAGTAGGTCGTCGTCGTCGTCGTCGTCGTCTATTGTGACTTATTTACCACGATGGATGGATGATACACATGTGGTGAGTTCGGGAAGGGAGGCTATTGAGTGGTTACAAGTTTGGATCTTGAGGGAAGTGTTGGCATTGCCAATCTGGATAGAGGCTATGTGGGGACATGAAATTGATTGGAGAGGAAGACCAATTAGAATCAAAAAGGACTTGACAGCTGAGGAGGTGGGAAAGGGATAGAGAATTGGAGCAGATCTAGGTCAAGAGGTAAGCTTGTGAGTAATAAGCTGTAGCAAAATATTGTAGATATGTATATATGTATGTTGAATATAGAGGCTATTGTATATTTGTGCAAGAGAACACACCAATACGATGGTAAAGTAGAGACATGAGCACGGTAAACATAAAGACTATTCACTTAACGAAGAAACGTTGTTATGCCTCATTTGTCCAAATCAGGAAAGAGGGGTTGTAATTATTTTTTTTATTTTTATTTTTTTACTCAGTGTGCATTGTTGCAGTAATTTTGTGTATGCCTCCCCTTTGTATACAAATTCGATGTTTCATCAAAGAATCTCTCGGTGTCTATCTCGACGTCCGTCTATCTCCTTTGAGTATTGCAGAAACAATACGTATTTGCGTTTCTGGTTTTGCATGATATTTCGTTGAGGCTTATAAGCTTGTGAAAGTGTTGGGTAAGCGTATAACACCATATGCTGAAATAGAGTGGCTTGTATCTTATTTCTCTGTATACGACGAACGCGTTCTGGTTTATACAAAAGATACGATGATGTGGAAGTATATGGTGTGTCTGTCTGTCTGT